ATGTAAAATAAAAAATCTAAACAGTATTAAATATAACATTACACATAAGTCACGTGCATAACTCTTCCTATAAATCAAATTCAATGAGACTGATTGTTATATTGAAGAAATTATCAAATTTCTATACATAGATTAAAAGCATAGATATATTGACGGTCTCATATTCCATTTCTCAGCATCAAAATAATGCACTTATATTTATTTACACTACTAAATACTCAATTACGACTCTACTACGTGCAATGCACTGACGTTCATTAGTGTATATATGAGAGATGGTGAAATTGGTCACCATAGCAATGGAGAAAAAAGTTAAAGTGTAAATCACGTGGATTAACATATTCATGAACAAATGTTGTAGCAGTCGTGTACCACTTGATTTTTTTTAATCAACCGGCTAAGATTGGTTATATAGCTGAAATTGATTATGTACCATTTGATTATGAACGTAAAATTGGTCAACTTAAGATTGATTTTTTTAATCACTAGAGAGCCAAAGTCAATATTGTTAAATTCTGTACCATTATTAATTATTTGACATTAATGTATAATCTTTGCAAATTTTTACTATTCAATTCTAGCTGTTGACTGTTACAATTCGTTATAGTTCGTGGATATTAAGGATGACGGACTTTTATATAGTGAGAAGAATGCTTTGATAAAATAAATTTTAAATGGAGGAATTTTTTTTAGCGACCTTCAAAAAAAAATGTTTTTTTACGAGTTCTTGACCTTGACAGACAAATTTCTATACTAACTCTCCGAAATGAGACCCTATATTTTTCTTATTGTTGTCGTTTTCATTTTCTAGAAGCAATGGACTTTTCATTAAAGTCACATTTTTATTGGCTGGGAGTTGTTGAATTTGAGAAATAGTTACCATGTTGCAAGGAAGAGCCCATTTTCTGTTCGATTTTTGTCTCTGGTCTTGGAAAATTAGCAAACCTAGCGATTGTTGACTGTTTCCAACCAAAATGTTGCAATGACAATCTTACCCTTCAACTTAAATAAAGAAACCAAAAAATGGAAAAACAAAAACTAAACTCAAGGAAGAAATGCAAAAAGGGAAATTTTCATAGGGGGTCCCTAACCTTTTCAAAAAGTGCAATAGAAAAGAACAATAAAAGAGAAAAAAAAAAAACTCTTCATCTTCCGAACATCTACCCCGCAACCTCATCCATCCCATCCTGGCAATCGCCTCTCCTCCCCACCAACACCTCCACTTTGTGACTAGTATCCCAAAACGTGTTAGTATTATTGCATTAGGTCCAAATAAATTTTTGGATATAATTACTTTATTTATTATCATATGTAATTAGTTCTATTTACTAATTATTTAGATAAATTATTAAGAGTAATGGAGTTTGAAAAATGTGAGTGATATGTTAATCACAAGGTCGTGATTGTGGGATGCATATCATGTTAATCCGTTTTTAACTCTCTAGCCATATAAACAAATGAGACATGGATATCATTAGTCTAGATAAGCTACCACTATTACACGTTTCTCCTTCGAAGGTAGTAGTTTATTTCACGAACTAGGGAGTGAAGGACGCTCAGGTTAATATGTGGATGCTTATTAGACGAAACAAGTTTATTTGAAAACTTTGTAGAGATTCAACATGGGTGACACAAGCATCATTGGATTATTTTTCAATGACGATTGTGAAACTTATCATTAACGTGTGACTTTCTATTTATAAAGAGTATCTTATACATAATAAATAGCATATTTAAATTGAGAGAGTAAACCTTTTTTGGCTATTTATTTTGCTTTTCTAAAAAAAAATATTAATTTCTCATCATATTTTATTTAAAATATTTTTTGTATGTCACGACCAATCAATTTAAATGTAGTTTGAATAATTTAAAAAGTAGAGTATTAAAATATATAGGTTATTAAACGCAATCGTTGTAAATTAAGAATAGAAAGTGAGTTTGACTCTCTAAATTTGGAGAGTCAAAATCACTCTTTACTTTAAAAAGTTAAAATATAGATTATTTTGAAGTTTATTTTTAAACATTAACCCTCTAAATTAAAGAGAATTTTACATTTAGATATACTCCGAGACCTGAAATCCTCAAGGAGTTATATGTAGACGATCATACTTTGATGGTATTGAAAGTGAATCTATTTGGGGTTGTTAATACAACACTAATTGAAAATGATGTGAATAACATTAAGATTGGTGGATGATCAAGATACCACTCATAATTCATGGACTTGAGCATTAATGCTAGAAGTTATTAGCCAAGGTAGAGTTATAATTTAAAAGGATTTCGAATACAACTCGATGAATCAATAGATCTAAGTAACAAATGGAATTGGTCAATTGAGACTGACACTATTCCACTTATCTCTATGAACTGAGATATAGTTGATTAAGAGATTGTATTTTCGTGTTGATCGGATATTTTAGGTACTGTCTTATAACATGATTTATTCCGTCACATAAATAACCTTAATATATTACTAGATATCAATTTTGGACGTATAATATGGATAGTTTTGTCCTAGGCATTGACGCCATGACACGCAACTTCTAATTGAATTGTTGGCACACGCAACTTCTAATTGAATTGTTGGCAGTTTTTTCAATTTTGAAATTTAAAGCATAAAATCATCCAAATTCCAAACATTTTCAATTGGATATCTTAGCCCGGATGTGCAATTTTCTGGCTTTGTCGCATCTTAAATTAGGAGTTTGTATTTGCCAAGCAAACGCTGTTGGATATATCCAAGGGACTTGCGGCTATTGTGTGAACAAACAAATCGTGGGTCACACGTTTCAACTGTTGGATATCCTGCATGTCCGAAACGTGGAATGACACGGTTGGTGGGCTCACGTGGATATGACAGAATCCCGCGTATTGGATTAGACTAGAATACATTGAGAGAGCCCACGACATAAATCCAAATCTTGACTAAAGTAGTACCCTTTTCGTCTTCTGATTTGCAAATGTTAAAGTCCTTGATTAAAGTAGTACCCTTTCCTGCTTTTGATTTTTGCAAAAGATTATAATGTTAGTACAGTTGCCCTGTACCTCTTGCAAATGTTTTAAGTTCTAATTTGATTTTCATTATCTTTAAAATATATTTTTCTCTCTTTTATTTTTAATGACATATTCTTCAATTCATAATATTACGTGCAAATTCAAAACTTTAAGCGTTACTCTTTTGCGGTTTACATTGGCAGATTATGAAAAATGTTAATCAAGCATTTAAATTGTTGAATAAGGTGTTATAAAAAGTGGAAAGAAGACTAAAAATTGCACGAACCGTGCATATAGTTGAATTTTATGTCGACTTCTATATACTAAAATATGAAATGGGCTTGTAACGAGCCAGTTGACTTGTAGTATTAAAATTGACTTCCTAATTTTAATGGTATAATGCCATTTGTACAGAGAAATGGTTCACAGAGGCCTTACAGACCCCTTAAAAAAGGGCGGGCCACACATGTATTTTTTTTTAAAAAAATAGTACGGACCCCACCTGTGTCTTGTCTGGTAGACCCCCGTGAACCATTTCCCCGTACTTCAAGCACTTCTCTAATTAATTACAGATTAAAATTTCATTTACTATTATCTAATATGCCTCTCTTTTGTCACCTCCAATACGCGGTTTAGATCCACCCATTAAACTATCCATCATGTCGATGACAAGGTGCACTTGCAAGTAAAAAAGGCGTTAAATACCCAACTATGTATATGATTGAAATTAGTCCATCCATTTGTAGAAAAAAGCTAGGGGCCAAGACAATACCTCCTCAGTCTACGGGTTATTAGCAGTGGTTTCCTTCTCGTTCATTGTACGTGAGTATGATTCAATCATGATTTTCTTTTTAAAAATTTTGGACATGTGTCAAATAAATATTAGTGTAGTCAGATATGACAATCATACTAGCATAAGCTATAAAAGGATTCACGACTCAAAACTCATAGAAATATCGTAAGTAATATCGAAAACAATAACCTCTAACATGGATCGATGGCAATTTTTCGAATTAACAAATACAGAAATATGTTTCTACATATTATATTATCCCATCAATATGTTAAAAAAAGGCCATGGGCCAAGCCAATACATCCTTTCACTCATCAATCTACGGATTATGATTCTCTTTATTTTCGTTGTATGTAATTATAACTCGATCATGAAAGTTTAAATTTCTATCAACTGGCGAAATAAATAATAGCATAGACAAGTAGGAACATGACAATCAGATTAAGCCTAGTTATAAAGGCTTTGGCGACTCAAAATTCATGAAGGTAATATAATCGGTGTTGTAAAAAGCGTAAAGCGTGGATGTCATGTTTCGGTCTAGATGTTGAAAAATATTTTCTTATTTTAATATTATGTAATAATTAAAGGAAAAAAAGTTAAAAAACGTAAAAAAATCGCACGCTAAGTGTGAAAAAAAAATACAAACAAACAAACGCAAAGCAGAGCGTTTTGCTGTCGCTCCCGGCTCCCCGTCTAGGCACTGCTTTTGGGAACACCGATCATAATTAATATAAAGCTTGTCAAACAAGAATTACAACTGGTCAGGGGAATAAAGCCCTCCAAAAGTAATTTCGTCTGACATATTTTTTCCTTGTCGTAAGCATGACATCAGTCAAACGTAATATGAACAAATATCTATTTATAAGGACAGTTTCCGCGTAGTCAGAGGGATTAATATGGAAGAAACTGTTGTGTAGGAGAAGAAAAAGAATGAGAGAGAGAGAGAGTAGAACATGGTTGCTTTATTTTTTCTTTCATTTTCAGTTATATGAACGCTCTCTTTTGACACCCAACCCAAGCTTTGAAATCATTCTTTTTCATTGACAATTTGATAATTCACACCATATATTCACACTACAGATATGTATAACCTTCTTCACTTTCTCTCTCTACCTTTCTTTTTCTTTTCTCATTCGATCCATCTCCCTATCTTTTCATCTACCTTCGTGGCTACGTCGATTCAGTGAATCGATATCTATATATATATTTCTTAATGGAGGGCCAGCACCACCCTTACACCAGTGTAAATATAGATACAGGCGGTGGCGGTGGTGGTGGAGCTGATAGATTTCCTCAATGGAGTATTCAAGAAACCAGGGATTTCTTGATGATTCGTTCAGAGCTCGATCCGACGTTCATGGAGACTAAACGGAATAAGCTTCTCTGGGAAGTAATCTCAACCAGGATGAAAGAAAAGGGTTATAATAGAAGCTCTGAACAGTGTAAGGGCAAGTGGAAAAACCTCGTTACTCGATTCAAGGTAAACGTTTTATTATCATCGAGAAGATTTAAAACTTTCTTGTATATTTGTTGGGGAGAATTGATAGTCTTCGAAAATAAGCGAAAATCGTGGTTATCATAGTCGATGTAATTTGTAGGGATGTGAAACGATGGAGGCAGAAGGTATACGCCAACAGTTTCCATTTTACAACGAACTCCAAGCAATATTTGGTGCAAGAATGCAAAGAATGCTATGGATTGAAGCTGAAGGCGGTGGAGCAAGTAGTTCGAAGAAAAAAGCCGTGGCCACTGCGCAGCTATCTTCAGACGAGGAGGACGATAATGACGACAGCGATGGGGATCAAAAGGGTGGCAGTAAGAAGAAAAGGAAGACTAAAAGCAATACAAATCCCAGCAATTCGAGCAATTTGATCACGAGTATAAGGGAGATAATGGAAGAATTCATGAAGCAACAGATGCAAATGGAGATGCAGTGGCTGAAAGCATATGAAGCAAGAGAAGAAGAGAGAAGAATAAAAGAAATGGAATGGAGAAAAACGATGGAGGATTTAGAAAATGAGAGGATGATGATGGATAGAAGATGGAGAGAAAGGGAAGAACAAAGGAGAATTAGAGAAGAAGCTAGAGCAGAAAAAAGGGATACCCTTATTACAGCTCTATTGAATAAGCTTAGAAGAGAAGACATGTAGCCTTACTGCTGCAGATATTTCTCTATGTTTTTACTAGCTAGTTCTGGAGGAGAAAAAAAAAGCCTCAGAGATGAGGTTTGGTCTTGAAACTCTTATTTTAGTTTAATTTAATGCTTTTTGTTGCTGATAATCGTTATTTTCTTCTCGACGATGCCACCATGTTTGTTCATAAATCTTGATTCGAGATATATATATTAGAATTAGGTCTTTAAGAAGTTGTAACATTTACTAGATTATAGAACTAGCATGATGTTACTGTTAAGGATCACAAAATTTTCAATTTTATTTAGTTGAAACAAAAGAGATTCAAGGTACATGTAGGTAAGCTAATAAAAACCACCATTAGTAAATCAAGAAAAAAAATAAAGAGATTGCAATACTTTGGTGGGATGGTTGAATAGTTTGTGCTTCAAGCTTTTGGAGAATAGATGGAAAATTGAGAATTCTAGTGGTGATGCATGCATATCAAATGAAATAATTGAGGCTGTGGATTATTCACATTAGGCTTTTTGTACGGTAAAATTTCGTGTCGATTTGATCTCTCTATACGAACCTTTCTATGCCCGATATACTGATCGGAACAACTCCGTGCTTTGATTCTTCATCATCTCTTCTAAGCTTTAATTAGTGCTGAGTAATCTGCATCATATATAGATGCTGGGTTTGCCTTGCCATGTTTATTTATAAAGAACTGTGTAGTCACAGAGTTACCAATATCTTAAGGACGGATTCATATTTTCATTAAAGTTCATATATATGCATGATGCATACACAATCTATATGAAGGGGAAAGGGCAAGACTTCAAATTTGAATCACCTCACCTAAATGCTTATTTATTATATTAATTATTTAAATTTTAGTATTCAATTTCTGTTTGGAATATCAATTTGCCCTAATATCTTTTCCCTTTCTTGTAGGTGTGGATCAGACCTGCAAGATGAATGTGCTCTATGTTCTGATGTCATAATTTCAAATATAATCTGTCTGAAATTGATCAAGGCCAAGGACAAGATATGAGGATAGTATAACTCCTTTCATACTTCCATTCGATGTTGAACGATTAATTATTTTATCTGATATTATATGTTGCGCTGTGTGAAAAGAAAGACATTAACATTTTTATTTAGTACTGCACACTAAACATACAACTACCAACGAAATTTGTTGTAAAGTAATCCAAAATTTCCTTAAAAACGTGCTTAATTTCTTACAATCTACACAAATATAGACCCACAAGCCATTTTATTTTAACAGTCACAGTTACTACATGATCATATGGAAAGAAATGAAAATAACGAGCCCCCAGGGCATATCTCCCAGTGGAAAAGGGGAGGGCGGTTAGGGCTCAGCGCGGTAGTGTGCAGAGTTCGATTCCCCGCAAGGTGGAATTGACTTTGTTGCAAGCGAGAGTTACCATAGGATTAAAAGTCCAAGGCCTATCCATAAGCTCTCCACCCTGACTCCTGGGAGGCACATCCTGCGATTTACCTCCTCCACAATGGCCCAGGGCAGGGTCAGTGGGGGGCCCTCAAGGTTGGGGTTCAACTTAGAAATGAAAATAACGATTTTCATATAATCGACACAATATTTTGAGAGTAAACAAGTTTGTTGTCGACGTCATGCATGCAGTAACATGTTGTCTGACGTAATTTGTTTTCTTGTATGCTACCACTGAATAAGTTGTGCAGCATAAATAGTAGGATTGGAAGAAAAGGGCTACGTAAATTATTTCTTGTATGTTTTCTCATTGTGGCTCCAATTATTTTTGTCAAACTTTCGGGATGTCTCTCCTGCTTGGTTACAGTTACGAGTAATTAATTTTAATTATATGTAAATTATACTTTTTAAAAATGTTTTCATAAGTTATTTTTTTCACTTGTTTAATATAAGAAAAGGATTGCTTTTGAATTGGATAAGCTTGTCCCCTCCTACCTTTTCCCAACCAACGCTATCACATTCTACCATCAATCTTCAACAACCCAGATTCTCCGGTGGTGGGTCTGATGGTGATCTCAATGGTAGTGGTGGGTTGTAATGCTAGATCCAGAGTTTGCAGTGGTGTTAAAAATGGCGATCGATCACAATAGTGGTAATGGGTCTCAATGGTGGACCTTAGGGATGTCAACGAGTTGGCTCGCGAGCTGAAGCTCGAAATTTGGGTTTGACTCGAAATTTGGGTTTGTATTTTTTTTGGCCCAAGTCTAATCGAGCTTTTACTTGGCCAAAAAATCTAAGCTTGACCCAACCTTTCAGCTTGGACTCTATTGAGTCGAGCCGGATGGGCTCGCCTTTTTTTTTTTTTTTAACCAGGCAGCTACTGATTTGATTTACATATTTATTTATTTTAAAGGATCGGCTCGTCACGGGTCGAAAATGGACGTGTGGCTCTTCGCTCAAGTTGAAGTCCCAAAATGGGGTTGGCTCGAGTAATGTTCTTCATTTTAGATAATGAAATCATTCCATTACTACCAACCCAAAGAAATACGACCTCTCTAAGATATACGGTTTATGCCGAAAAGGTACGAAGTTGGACTAATTTGGAAACATTGGGCAATTTACTTTATACCTACTATTCCGTCTGGTTTTTGGTTCCTAGTCTTATTTTATTAGTAGCCATGATTGGGGCTATAGTACTGACTATGCATAGGACTACTAAGGTGAAAAGACAGGATGTATTCCGACGAAATGCTATTGATTCGTAGAGCCTCAGCTCGTAGCGAGCTGGGCCGGCTAGGCTTTTCCCTAGTTGAGCCAAGGGCCACCCGAACCAGCGAGCCAAATTAACACTAGTGTAGCGGGTCACGGTCGTGACATGACAATTTTTGACGGAGATGATAAATAACAATTGTGGCAGCGAAGGGTGATTTTAAATAGATTTAGGGCAGGGGTGGGCGTCAGGTAGGTTAGTCTGAATATTTCAAGAACTGTAACCATCGATTAAATTTCGAATATTTTATAAGGGTGCTGCTATTTATATCTACAATTGTTATATATTCATCATACGCTATATTCATTCCTATTAAAATATTAAATTTTAAAAAAATTACTATTTTCATCCACATCAAATTTAAATATTGTTCTTATTAGATTCATTCATTTAAACACTATAAATCCACACAAATTTTATATATTCGTTCCACTCTAAATACGCCCATTAATGGTGGGGGCAAGATTTCCATCTTCTGACATGATTTTGTTCTTTCAAAAACCAAAATAATAATTGATGAAGTCCGTTTTCTTGTATTTTCTCTAATGATAATACTAAATTCATCAAATTCACAATAAAACACAATTCTTAATTTTTCAATTTTTTCTTCATGTGTTGCTGTGTTTTCATGTATTTCCTCTAACGGTAATCTTTCCATTGTTGTTTTGATTTCAGTTGAATATTATATTTTATGATTATTAAGGTCTTATAATTTTAGTTAAAATGATATTTTATGATTATTAGGATTTTATGATTTTAGTTGAAGATGATATTTTATGATTATTAGAGTTTTAGTTAAATACAAATTCTAAAAGATTTAAAAGAATTTAATGAAAATAAATATTAGTGGATGAATTTTAAACGATATATTTTTATATACGTCTATTTAGGTAAATTTACATAAGATTAAAAACGAAAATTGTGGAGGTAAAGCACGACTCCCTTTATAGATGAAATCACCTGGCTTCCTACAATTTTTAGTACCATTCGATTTTGTCATAGCACTTTTTCAGAAAACAAACCATATTTTGCATTAGTCCATCCAACTGGCTATATTTTTAAATCAAAACGGTAAAGAAAGAGAAATTTATGTATCGACTCCTCATAGGTTTCCATAAGATACCTTTCCAGCGATCTCCTTCAACAAGTTTTGCCTATAACAAAGAAAATCAATCGCATTAATAGAAGAGTGCTACTGTTATAGATTTTTTTTTTTTTTTGTCAAAATACCAGATCACACACATAGGGGGTGGACCCCATTTTTTATAATAATATTTTATTCACATGGGGCCCGCCCCATATGAGTATTCTGTCATTTTTACAGATGAAATAGTTCTGTACAAGTGGAATAATTGTAATACTAATTTCTTTGCCGAATCTATGAAAGCAATAAGACAATTTACACAAACTTAAAAAAATGAAAATGTGTTTCCTAATCGGGTTTATGGTGCGGAATTTTAAGATCCGTAACGACTCATTAAACTTTGTATATTTCGTAAATTGAGCCATTTGTTTTCATGTAATTTTTTATATCGAACTAAAACTGAAGATTTCGTTTCGATTCGGAAAGCTCCATTGCGAGTAAAATGCTTACCCCTAATCTAAGGTTTGTTGGCATTTAGGTTAGTGTAGGATCCAAAATTAGTATTCTTCAAAAAGTTTTGGTTTGGTTTAAGTAAACATCCAAAAACTGAACTATGAAATATTTCAATTTTTAAAAGGAAAATGTAGTATCCAGCCTAATTATTTCTAGTACTAAATGAAGTAAAGAATCATGTGTAACAAGTGAATAAACTTTCATTTCCAACACTACCTTCTATGGTCTTTTTGCAATTTTCTGGAAAAAGAGAAAATAGATCAATGATTTAGACTTTGGAAAAAGCTTGGGTCAAGAAATCTGTTCATGAAGGATGGGTTTACTTGGGAAATTCGAAGTTTCTTTTTGCTCAACTTGACCGCAACCAAGTTATCTCGGCCTATAGTTGAAATAAGTTCTACACGTTTTTGAGAGCCTTACGCCATCTCTTCTAGAAACACATCTCTTAAAATTAAGGATGTACTTGGTTTCAAATGATTTGGTTTCGAATAGGATCAGACAAAATTATCGAACCGAATCATATCCGAACCAAACCGAGCGGTTCCTCTTAAATTAAATATCCGAACGAATATTTGAATCGAGAATCGATGAGTTTGGTTCGATTTTCGATTCTAGATCAAGAATCGAATAAGAACCGAATCTATTTAATTTTTTTTAATTTTTTATCTTAAATAAATCAAATTATTTTATTTTTTTAAAATAAATTGCTAACTAATTAATTTAGTCCAAAACTAAAATATGATTTTGCTATTTCTAATTTTCAGTCAAGCCCAACTTAATTAAATTGACCTAAGTTTTACCCAAATATCTTATTCTATCGTAGTGTCATTTCTACCGTTCTATTATTGTGAACTAGTCATCTTCCATTTCCTGTGATTTTAACAATCAAATCTATGAAGAACTCAACAAAGGGATGTGCAAAAGATATCACGAGATTGGACTCGTTATTTTGTAAGAGTTAAGATTGAATATGTCATAATCGAATTAATATAGTATTATTGTAATATAAAAAAATTAGTTATTGTACGGCATCCCGGAATCGAATGGAACCAAATTCGAACGGTTCTATAACTAAATTTAAACCCGACAGTTTGATTTACTAAATACCCGAAAATTTCGAATTAGGTTCATTTTTAAAGAGAACCGAATCGAATCGGATCATGCTCACCCCTAGTTCCGAAGAAAACTTCTATTGAACAAAGAATTAATGATTTTCTTATAATTAAACTGTCGACCTTTCGAATCTGGTTGGAATCCAACACATTAACAGATCCCACCTTCACTTTCATCCACATGTATGTTACATACGCACTTAGAATGTACACGTTAGAGGTGCATGATCGAGTCCCCTTCAAGAATAAAAAAGGCGGGGATGCCGTAACCATAAACACTCTTTAACACTCAAGTTTGTGAATGAAAATAGTTAGATACAAGAGTGACACATGATAAAGAAGAAAAACGAGAGTCGGGATCTATATTTAGAGAGTGAGAATTACCACGTTGAATTACATTTACGAAGTCAATAATTGTGATTATTTATAAGAAGAAAAACGAGTTGAGACGCTCTGAGTGCTTGACATGTCATCCCATCGTCTCATTAGTCAAGCTTTATGATGTGACATTGTATTGTCATAGGCATCATAGGCTTGTGACCCTTGCACCCTCTCCTAGGTGAAAAAGAAGGGATTTGACTCCCAACCATCATTGCAAAATGATTGTTCAATCACATCTCAAGTGGCTCCATGTTGTTAGGATATAGCTTGCACGAGGCGCCTCGGGGTAGTAACAACATCCTCTTGCATTAAATGCCCTCTCATTGCCTCGGAGCCAAGACTTGATCCTTCAGTTGCAAGTCAAGCCGCCTTGAAGGCGTTTGTCTGTGAGCGTTGGGCTATACTTTCAATGCTTCGAAAACGCAAGGCGACGGGATGTGCTTTCATTGCCTCCCATCACCCTGGAAAAATAGCCAACGAGGTGATGAAATATTTCCTTACCTCTTCGGAGGCAACGGTGCTTGCATGACATTTTTCCTCAGCCACATAGGCATAAGGGTAAGAAGAACCATTATCCATCGATAATTATGGAAATAAACCAGTACCTAACCAAATGGTTCATGTTTGATTTGATTTGGTTCTCTAACTAAAATTTCTAAATTAGTGATGCAAATTACAGTGGATTCTATTGCAAAGAATTAATACCCACGTCAAAAAATAAACTTATTCGAGGCAAACGAAAAATTTCATCTCCATACAAAATATGTCAAATAAAACCATTCATCAAATCAAAAAATATTTTAATTAAGAATAGTTGGGTTAGAACCGATTGGTTCTTGATTCCAGGATCATAATCGCTTAAAATTTAAACAAAACCTAACTGAAATGTCTGACGCTCAGTTGATTCATGTTCTTTTGTCCACCCCACAAGACTTTAGTATTTGTATTAACTTACAAAACTGTCAATCAATGCTATTTTATGGAGACTTGAGCTTAGTCAAAGTTATGAAATCATAAATTTGAATTTGATTTTGTATTTTGTTCAAAGATTTGAAGTTTGACAATAAAACCTCAAGACTTGTTAACCAAGATTATGTTGTGCGACTCGTGTGTGTGTGTGTGATGGACAACTGCACATTTGTAACGATGTTTGCGAGGTCATGTAATGTGGAAAATAGTTGCCCAAGCCAACGACCAATAAACATGACATTGTGCAAAATAAATTTTAAAAAAATCATACGGTGTGAAGCGAGAAAAACATTAATAAATCTAAAAATTCTTCAATTTTACGATACTCGAAAATTTGAGTGAATAATTCATTTATTAGTTACAAAATATTACGAAACTCTGAACAATCACTTTGTGGCTATGGTTTATGATACCTAATTCCTTCTCATATTTAAAATTGCACCCCTAATCCCTATTCTATTGCCAAATTAAAAATAAGGCCCTTACTAACAAAACATCATAAATATATTAATGAAAATATTAAAGAAGTTCAAGCTTGCGCCTCTCTATTTTTCAGACCCCATAAAAAGTCCTTTTTATTTTTTTCTTAATGTTTGATCTTAGACCATGTCTTTAGCAACTACCATATGAATTTCATGCCATTAACCCAATTAGAAAAGAGTGTCGTCTTCGTTGAATGTTTTGGGAACTGAACACCGACCAAGACAATTGAATTCACTTTCTACATTTATGTCTGTGCAATTGGTGTCAACAAAGTTGATCAAACCTTATTTCTTCCTACGGCAGGCTGCAGCCAGAATTGTTTGCTTTTTGTAGCACGCGTGTATCTCGAGAACCCATCGTTGTAAAAAGTGGGCCAATTAGTTAAATAATTGTACCGAATAGAATAGAGAAATAAAGATGAGTCGAGTTACTTAATCTCAATAGATGCATCTATTTTTTTATTAAATTCAAACTCGACAGTTCATAAAAAATTGTATAATGAGTTAAACTATCTAAATATGTATCGAACATGACTTTCAAGTCATCCCTTACTAACAAACTTACTAATAGCCCGTTTGGCAGAGTTTCTATTTTTGCTCATATGCTTCAAGAAAAGCTTTCCAAGAAAACTACAATAGGCCAATTTTCTTTAAAAGCACTTCTAGTCAAACATTGCGCTTCCAGAAAATTATCAAAATATATTCAAAAGTAGATTTTGAATCTCAAAAGCAACTTTTTGCTTTTCAAATGTCAGATCAAACGTAAAAAAAAAAGTCGATTAAGCCCATGTTTGGTACACATTCTTTTAAAATACATTTTTTTCAAAACTCATTTTCAACCACACATTTTTCAATAAAATAATATTTTTTATCACATATATTATTTTTCCTTACTTTTTAACCACATATTTTTCATCGTATCACTATTTAAAATACATTATTTCCTCAATAATATCCATCAAACGCACCCTAAGTTAAAAACTCTTCACGGATTCTTATTTTTTAAACATAGATGTTGTATCTTGGAAAACCCTTGTGAATGCTTGAAGAAAGGCCAAAACGGTATCACCTCGTGACAGATAGGTTGGCCAAAGGGAATCCATATCCCTCCCTCATACCAAGTCACCCACTATACCCACAAAAAGAATAAAGGTTACATAGAAAACCAATGAAGATTGGAATCCCACTACCGATGTTTATTCTTGCTGATAATTGTGTAGGAAATGTGAAAAATGTTCAACCAATCAAAACCACCACGCGAGAAATGATTCTACTTTTAATGGGCCTACCATCAATAGTAACGTATGCTTCAAACTTCTTGGTTTTGCTAATCACATCAAATGCAGAATTCTCATTTAGTCTACTCCATACAACAAGGGAAATAAATTAAATTTACTGGAAATTTTCACCGTCATTTTGATTGGCTTAATGTCGTTCAACGATACAAGGGATATTTGCTGAAGAGGCAAATTGCTCTTCACGAGAATGAATAGACACCATTTTTCCCTCGTACAATATGAAATTTGACAGTATTAACTTCCATCTATCAATATAATAAATGAAATCTCTTAATCAATCACTGCAGGGAATCTCTTACTGGCCAAAGTAAGGTGAGCCAAAATCAACGTAAAATGGCAGTGTCAAAATACCAGATTGGATTTCGGTTGAAGCCATTTAAAGAGGTCGTTCAATGTAAGCCAGGCTCTGAAATTTACCGTGATCTCACTCCATTGCTTCACTTTGATTTATTAGAGCTGCTAAGCTTGGGGTCAGTTCGGTAGTATACCACATCACCAGTATCACTAACATAGTGATCCTGCTTCAAACTTTTCACCAAATCGCCAATAAGATGGAAAGGCAGAGGGCTCGATTTCTTAGGTTCACGATAGTATTTCCCGAAGACAGGTTTAGCTGCCTCTGTCTGCAAAGAAACGAAAGGCTCAACATGTCAAGATATAATCAACACTCAACGTGTCATGAAGTCAAATATCAATCATGGCAGCTATTTAATGTGTTGAAAAGGTTACTCACTGCCTCCACTAAATGATAGTGTGGTATTTGAGGGAAGAGATGGTGTATCACATGTGTTCCAATATCGTGGTGGATGTTATTAATCCATCCATAATCACGATCAAGAGTCGTGAGTCCTCCCCTGAGATAACTCCATTCCTACACAAGAAAATCAACTCTTTTAAGGGATCAGCTGCGACCAATTACTTAAGCGTGACAATTCATGTAGTCTAAGTAAGCATCTTTGATTATGCTTAATAGTAAGTCAAGCCTATTTAAAGTTACTTGTTTTTGCCAAACATGATATTAAAGTTACTTCTTCCGACAAAACTTACTCTTTTAGAAAGTAAGTCTTAACATACTTTCAAGAAAAGTAACTTTTAATCACAGCCAATCATGCTCTATCTCGAACTCCCAAAGGGAAATCCCAATATATGCTACCTACCCTATCTAATCAAGATGCCGAATACTTCGTAAGAATACAGGAGTACACAAAACGAAAAGAAAGCATAAAATCAAGACACTAAAATACCTTTCCTCGGTACCAGGGAAGTTTATCTTCATGCCCATGGTGATGAAGATAGGTAACAAAATCCAACCACATGACAAAACCCTTAAAAGAAGCAAAGTTATATTAGAAGATTCCCAATGGTTGGAAATAAAACCAATGTGAAGTTCACTCTTTTTCTCCTCTTTTAAGAAAATTAAGTTCTATGTTGACAGCAAGCAATGTCACCAACAATGGAAAATTGGAAATTACCCAATACGGCACACCGTAGAGTTGCAAAAGTTTAACTGGACCAAGCACAAAGGACAAACCCACAAGCAAAGCAGCCATTGCTGTCCAGCATATTGTTGAAGTGATCACATCTTTCCTCTCGTTTGGAACAAACAAGTCGCTGTTGGGATCAAAGTGGGAACCAGTCTTTCCCGGACTCCTATTCCACTGGAGACGACAATATTTATCAGCTTAACATACAATTCTAACCCAAAAATGAAGAAAGAAAAATATAATTAGTGAAGCTGCAGACTTACAAGGTAAAAAGGATAGGCAAGCATGGGGAAAGGCACCGTGAATCGCAATGTTTGAGTAACTTTATCCAAATTCTTGTAAATCTTCTCGGGCAACTAAAAGTAAAAGTAATGATAACTAATGCTTCAGAACCAAATTGAATGAAAAATACTAGCCAAGGCCTAAAAAGGCAAAGGATCCATTAAAAGAATAGAGAACTAACCGGATGCCACGATTCATCATTTTCAACATGTCCATGGTTCTGGTGGTGAGTTCTATGGCTAATTCTCCTGTAAAATTCATCCAATTAACTTCTTAGAAGACAAAGTGTTCAAGAACTTCAACGATAATGTAACAATAAGGGCATGTTAGCAACACAGTATTGGACAGTACAGCAAAGAATAACATAGGAGATTTCAACTTGTTTTTCTTCCCCAATCCTACCCTGTGCTGTTCCGTTCAGCATAAAAATCATCACATAAGTATCTTATGAGACCGAAATTAATTTATCAAGTGACACAAACAAGAAAAAGGAAGAAGAAAAAAGCAAGCAGGAGCATACCATCCATGATAGGGCACAAGAATTGAAGAATGCAGGATATGTCCAACAACACTGTTCAATTTCTGATTGTTCGAAAAGCTCCCATGGCCACTGAAATACAGTATAAGAGATAAATCACAAAATCATATCCACTCATCAGCATCTAAATCTAAATCAAGATAAAGCACCAACGAAGCCACCATACACACACTAATACATATATAAGTTAATTCAGAGCCAAAAATTAAAGAAAAACAATGGGATATATGGAAGTACCAATCATGGCCAAGAACAAAGAATGCCCAAAACATTGTTCCTTGAGCAGCCCAATAAAGAGGCCAAATGAACCAATTGTTTAAATATGCTGCACCTGCTGCTAAACCCAAAACAATAGCCACATCCCTCACAACATAGCTCATCGATCTCCATGGATCCTTAACCCAACAGTGCTTTGGAATGGCTGCCCTTATATCAGCCAATTTGAATGGTGGGGGTGCCCCATAATCAAATTCTCCTCCTCCTTCTTCCCCAACCCCATTAACACCAACAACTTTCTCCTTTTTCTCCCCTTTCTCATATTCATCCAAAGATGCAATCCTCGATGGAGTACTCACTTTCAAAACCCATTTTTTGTCACTCGAAAGCTTTGGAATTGACACTGGAGAGAATTTAGGATAAAAAATCTTCTTGTTTGCTTGTAAAAACTGAACCTTTAGGGGATGGGTGTGGTTTTTTATTGAATTTGAGAAGAAACCCGTTCTGGGCTTTGGAAGAATTTGAGGGAGGGGTCTAATGCCACATTCTGACAAGACCCAACTAGCCATTTGCTTGCATACAGAGGGGTTTCAACTTTCAATTCTGTGTCCCAAAAACACAGAGATAAAATGGAAGAAGAAAAGAGAATGGTCTGAATGGAATGGAATGAATGAAGAAAGCAGAGGCTTATATTAGCCAACGAAAATATCTCTTCTGCAAACTTGTTACAATAATTAATAATAAAATAAATACATACACCATATACATATATATATATATACAGCGACAAGGGGAGACCGGGACAGGGGTGGGGGTGCTCCTCAATTCTCTTGCGAATCGTAACAGAAGCACTCGCGTGTCACGTCTTGTTTGGTTAGCACAAGGGAAAATTGCACTATTGGTCTCTAATCTATTACCATATTAGTAAGTTGGTCTTTGATGCTTCAAACAATAAGAAAGTTAGGACGAACTTTTCGTTATAGTTAGTTATATAATCGGTCTATAATGGGAAAATATTCCAAATCTCTGTCATGTTGTGACGCAACCCTCATGAATTCAATTTCATAAAACTTTTAGCTTTCGTTTGATCCCAATTTTTTAAAATTAATTTTTTCTCAAACTCATTTTCAATCGAACCTTTTATAGGATTAACGATTTTTATTAAATTTTTAATCATGCATTTCATACGCTTCTACTAAAAAATTGATTTTTAGCCAAACCAAATCGGGCCTTAGTTTCTTAACTAAGGTGGTGCTTAGAAATTTGAAGAAGAACAAATTTTGTTAATAAAATTTAAAGATTTTAGGAGGAATTAAAATCCAATTAAAATTGAAAATATAGTCGTTATTGGGTCTCACTCGTCTAATAAAAGTTAACAATAACTGCTAATTTTTCAATTTTAATCCAATTATAATATCTACCAAACAAGTTTTTTATATTTTTTCTATTTTCGGGGATGGATTGTACAGTTACATTAAAAGATTAATTGTTTGTTACTATGTCTTTTAAATGTTTGCAAGTAGTAAATTTTACGAAATGTGCGGGATAATAGGGTGTGGGTCTTATGAAAAATACTGTAAGCTGACTAATTTGTTGATTTTAAAAGTTGAGCATCATCTTGCTATTAAGAATAGTTTTTAGTCCATAGTGCAATTTTCCCTTTTATCTGATTTCTGTCCTTGTTAGTGAACTGTGAATAAAATAGACGTTGGTGGCATTAGGGTTTTGCTGGCCCATTATACCAACTCAATGACCTAAATAGCACTAATTATTGATAAAGTATAATGGTAGCACTGATTTGTCAACTTCACAATTGATAATCTCATATTTTCCTAAGAGCAATGCGTCAAACTTTATAAATTAACAAATTAGTATTTGTGTGTCATTTTCTATGTGAGTCAAGAAGAGAAAAAAATGGTAAAAGCCGTTCTTATTTGTTCATATTATCGACAATGAAATAAAATATATATACTGAAACCTAGCTAGTTGATAAAATCTTCATTTTTCTTGGCTGTGGAAAAAAAAATTCTTTCATTTTTTCTATTTGATTGAGTGGAAAATTGACTTTTATTAGATTTCCTTGGATTAGGGTTGAGCAAAGAATCTATTGGCGTGTTTGGTAGAGACTAAAATTGAAAAACTAACTGTTATTATTGACTTTGATTAGGCGAGTGGAACCCAATAACGACTATATTTTCAATTTTAATTGGATTTTAAACACGATCGAACACGCTTCCGTAACCCAATCGAAAGCAATAAAAATAAAGAAAGTGGTTATAATCCTTTTGTTTTATAAAAACTTGTAGGAATACAATTAAAGTTCTATAAACTTATTTCAAAAGGCTAAATTCATTCTTTTCAAGTAGACTTTTAAAGGTACAAAAAAGAGTAGTAAAATTATTATTTAACTTGCTATTTGCCTCAATAAATTTCCCAAAAAGGGCACTCTCATATTGGACGGTGGATTGCTTTGGCGGTGTCAAAATTCATATATTTGAAAATAATGGGTGGGGATAGGATTACCATTATAGGTCTTATTATATATTAATTATTTTATGACTTTCTTGGAATGACCTTTTTTGTTTGATCAAAAATGCAAATCACGTGGCTTGGGTGTGAAATTGACCCGACTTAGAAGAGCCCTTAGGTTGATACAATTATGAAAAGGGTAGCGAGAAAGATTGAAATAGAATATTCTTATATTAGGTCTGTCTAGTTAGATCATAATTTTTCGGACATTCAAAATCTACTTTGTTTCTCTCTGTTACCGCTTCGGATATCGATGTGCGATGATATGAATAGCTTGGGATTCGAGATGTCGTAATTTAAATTATCGATCCTACTACGTTCGCATTTAAGACATTGCATTTATAGTTTTTCTCCCACGTCGGCACTAAAGGGAATCTAGAAATATAAAATTTTAGTATATAATTTATCTTCAATTTCTGGGATTTCCTCCTCATGTTGTTCAGTTGCACGTGGAAAAAGAATAAAGAAAAATATTGTATAAATGAAAAATCAATCAAAAAAGGAGGGACAAGGTAAAAATGATATTGTTTTTTTATTTAGGGAAAAACATGATGGCCAGGCCACATGGGCCTTGGCCATTTCGCAGCATTATTGGAGTAGTGATATGTCTCATACTTGGTAGTGTAGAAGAGGTATATTGTCAATTTGACATGATATTAGACGTGTTACGATAAAAAGTTTTACATAAAGAAATATTATCATGGAATAGAATTGTCAACAGCTAATGTGGGACGAAATCAACCCAGGTTGTTACAGGGATGGCAAAATTTTCCACCGAATTATTCTCCATGTACAAAACTATTCACTACCAGAATTTTTACAGTCGCTCACATGGTGTGTGGGCCCCACATGAATTAATTATTATTAAAAAATGGACCCCACATGTGTGTGTTGTCTGGAAAAATTCTGTGAAGTTTTTCCCTATAATTGTAGCAGGGTTGTTTTCCACCTCTCATCCGTCCCAAATAAGGTGAGGAATCACATCACAAATAGTAAGCGGGACATGAACATGGTTCCCGCCTTGAATTATTCGAACCCATCCCAAAATTTTCAGTTTATTATATTATATTTTTATGTTATGATCATATTTTTTAAAAATAATAAATAATTAAAAGGGACAGTAAATAGAGATTTTTAATCTCCTCCTCGCCGGCTCCATCCCTTGCTATCTCTATTTTGCTGTGTATTTTGGGAGGTGCTTTAGATTTTTTGTTAGTATATTCTTATACCATAATTTTAAGTAGTCAACATCCACTACAAGAATGCAAGTTCTATGGATTCACCAAAATTGCATGAATAGATATATTTTAAAGAGACGTGACGCAATTTATAAAGACTTACAATTAGAAAAGTAAATCATTCTTTTTAAAACTGATATCTAAATCTTACATGCCACAATACTCAACAGGGGATGTAGCTCAGATGGTAGAGCGCTCGCTTAGCATGCGAGAGGTACGGGGATCGATACCCCGCATCTCCATTTTTCTTCTGTTTGAATAAATTTTGTTAGCTTTCGTCCAGAATCTCAAGTCGCATTAATTCTCTCCTTGATTAGAAATAATTTCAAGTTTGAACTGCTGGAATACGTGCATAGATATTGACAAAAACACAATTTAATTGAATTCCAAATGTAATTTTTACACTTTTACATTATTGTTGATATTACCAGAGTTGTCAGCAATTGATTAGGTGAAAAAACTGTCCAAATTTTAAATTGTCCAATAATTTGTTATCACGTGGCAAACATGATCGAATTTGTAAACTCCAGATTTACATGCTCTTCAAAAATAATAATATAAATATATAAACACGTGAAAATAAAAAGCGTTTTCCTTCTAATAATAAGTTGACCACGTAGGAGTGCTTTATTAATATTTTTTATTTTTTTTTCCTTTTTAAAAAAACATTTTATATGACTTTAGCTTATTAATTTTTTCATTTGCCCTGTCTACGGAATGTTCTTTCGATATAGTTATTTAAGGCCCTCAATTGATGAAGTCGATGAACCTACATGGCCCCAAGATATAGTGGAACTAGCAACAATGCTAGCTTGTTCAAGGATTGTATCGGTTAGCTCGCCAACAGAACTTACTCGACAAGTTGCTAAGGACACGAAACTTGCCACGAATATCGTGATCAAGATGCAATCATAGACCTCATTGATAGGGTTATTGCTCACTATCAAGAATAGTTGGTAGAAAACGCACTAATGGCTACCAGATATATTTTCCTTGTCTTCTCGCCAACTTGGTTCAGCGCCCTCCTTTGGATCGCGGTTTGAATTTTGAACCAGGGTTAATGCTTCACCTGGTGACAAAGCTAAGTGAGTGATTTATCTGAAGAGATCAAAACCAAAGAATTGAACGTTTGAAGCATGAGACAAAAATTGACGAGAGATTATTGGCAGACGAATTGGTGAGTATTCGTGAAAATGCGGCAGCTCTTCCATTGGCTGAGCTGGCAAGGGAGGAAGGAAGAAGGCAGCTTGATGAACAGAGAAATTAGAGAAACCGACGCAGTACTGGAGTCTTCTAGCTCGGCCATGCGAGTTTGCTGATTCGGGCAGTAACCGTTGAGGACTGGAACAGTTCCAAGTGGTGCTGGAAACACTCGAGTCCTCTCCAAAATGCGAGATTCTTTGCAGCCGATTCCATTCCATCTTAGAACTCGGATGCTGGGAAGGCAGAGAGAGGAAAAAAGAAAACCTATAATCTGGTAGCGAAGGTCGGCTTCACAAAGAGACAACCTGATCTACTAGTATACCGTTCTAATGTGCTTGTTTTTGCAGTTTATAGTGTGCTTAGTATGTTTTTGCCGTTGTAGGATTAGACAACCACATCTTATTGCATGTATAAACTTGTAAGAACTTTAAAACACAATCAAATAACACGTCTCAAAAATCAAGTTCAAGATATGGTTTGTGTTACATTAAGAAATAGCAAGGCAAAACAAGAAACTCACAAGATAGAGTCAGCAAGCCAAGTTAAATGCCTCAGCTTAGGAAGTCTAGCTCAAAAGGAATAAGTTTTGCGAAGGATTACCAATAGAACCTGTGCAGAAAAGCAGAAGACTGGGTTTATGCCAAAAAAGACCAAAATGCGAAGATAGCTGAAGAAGTTGAGCCTGCGACGAGTAAAAGACTAGAAGCCGCACCATAACTGTTTTGCTAGCTATGCATTTTGCATGATTAAATGTAGAGGAATCCTCATGCTTGACATTGGCTAGATTGATATGTTTTGTTGCCACCAATTGAACACGCTTTAGTGAACATCTAGAGGTGTACACTTGCGGCTTGCCATTGACAGGGGCAATTTAAAATCAAACAATAACCTAAAATAATATGAACTCAATAAAAAACACGAAATAATTTTGATCAAAGTAATTTTAAATTAGTTGAGAAATAGTAACATGCATGTTTCATCCACAAGCAAGCAGACAAAATAAATAATCAATTCAAACACATATAAATAGACATAATAAAATCAAACTCACGTATAATACAATTTTTTTATTCAATGAAAGAAAGTGGTGGACTCCAAAATCCAACATAGTCCTTTACCATATTTGGTCTCCACTCAACAACAAATATATCTGTGACGCCGGATGCTATGGAAGAATTATAGGAGAAAGGGAAAGAGAAGAGAAGAAGATGGGGAAAAGAGAGGAGAGGGAGAGAATAGAGAGACGAGGGAGAAAATAACAATTATTCATTATCAAAGCTTCCCCTTATTACAAGGCAAAAGACTCTTTTTCAATGATCTTATTCGAAGTAGCAAATATCTAATAAAATCTATTAAATCAAACACAATTTAAGTTTCCCGACATGTGCCTTAAAATTGGAAACTATGAGCCTGTTTGGTACAGATTCTAATATATGATTAATATAACGAAAGCTTAAAAAAAATAATTTTTTATTATATTTACGCTATCATATATTATTGTAAGAGCGTGTTATGAGCCTGNGATTTAAGTTTCCCAACATATGCCTTAAAATTGGAAACTATATTAAATAAAATCTCTTCTAATATTGCATCAATCTGATCATGTGGACTGCTTTTCACAGGCACGCTAATGTCCTTTCCTTGTTTACATGCAATCCGTGCAGCCAAGATATATGATAAATATTTCTGAACTTAATATACATGGGTCGCTTCATCTATATACTTTAGTTTGACTAACAAACAAATTGACGGGATAATCTAGTAGATGAAAATACTGCTTATAGAGACGCTGCACTAGACATGTGACAAATTAATTCAATATCTGGGATGATGAAGCAGGCTGCTGGGCAGCAACAAGAAACGGCTGATAGATGTGGTGCAATTGGGGAATGCTATAGATGCCCAGGTCGAGAAGTTGCATCAGCTAGAGCAGGTTGTTGGCCAGAATTTGATGGGCATTGTCATGAAAGTGGGTCAAAAGTGAGTTGAGGTGGCAAAGATCTACCACAATACATATTTGGGCAGTGAGAAATTGCTAAAGGTTGTGACCTAATGTTAAAATTTTAAACACAAGCTTGCCATTCTTCTGCAAATGGGGAAATTCTCAAGTTAAAGGAGTACTTTCTAGCTATTGGAAATGATGGAAATATAATTAATCAAGATGCCTCTACTTCGGTGAACCAACCTCACGAGGAGCAGGGTAAGACTAGACAGGCCAATATAGCTTGTAGCATATTAAAAGGTATGATGACGAAGATAGTTCAAATCATATCAGCAAAGGCCTTACTATTGAGCTTGGAAAATTGCACATTGATCTGAAAAGACTACTCTCCAAATATGGCTTGGGAAGGATTTTTTCAAGGCAGTTACAGGAGAGTAGTAGTAGTTAAACGTGAGTACATTCCTACTCCAAGAGACTTAACATGTGAAGGACATAGCTATGTACAACTGAAGTTTGAGGAGTGATG